ATATATATATATATATATATATATATTTATATATATATATATATATATATATATATATATATATATATATTTATTCGAATAGCAGGCATGTTAATAATACAAGTATGAAATAAAATAAATTCTGATTGGCTATAAAGAGAAATTTAGTTTTATTGAAATAGCTACAGTGCTAGCTAAAAGCTGTATTTTAGTCCAAAAAAATCAATTCAGTGCAAGTAACTCAGTATACAAAAAGGAATACCTAGTTGAATAAAACACTGTGATTTAAGTTTTAATTTCTGACATTTTTTATCTGTTCTTATTCTTTATACTAATATTAATGTACGGCTTCTTAGCTTGAAGACAAACTGTTTGATACAACCAAGGAAATCATTGGTATTATCAACTCAAGCAACTTCAAAGGATCATTTAGAAGCACAATAGGAAGCAGGACAGCAGGTATGAGTCCCATTTAAAGGACCTTGTATTGTAAATTGCTCACACAACAACAGTATCTGTCGTGTATGAGCTAGCACATCGGAGATTTACATAGAAATAACTAGAAATGTACGCATGCAGCAACCTCTCGCATTTTCAAGTTGAACAACTATAGTTCCTATACAATCATTATTTCAACATGTTCAATTCTCATGCAGCTAATAATAGACACTTCCCGAATTTGCTTGAGTACACACGAAACAATAGCTTGGAATCGAGGCGGACAATGTAATCCATTGGAAAACTATACTTATTTCCAATGGATTACATTGTCCGCCTCGATTCCAAGCTATTGTTTCGTGTGCACTCAAGGAAATTCGGGAAGTGTCTATTAAAACTATAAACGTTAGCTAAACAAACGTACTTGAGGATGTACATGTTGCAGATGTATTGTGGTCGTTGTGTCAAAGATAGTGGTAACCATGGTAACATCATTTTTACATTTTTCTGCAAGGGGAACAACTGAATCGGCATACTTTAAAATTAATACTTGTTTAACTGTAGGCCTAGAATTTTCAGTGCTCAAAATAAAAATTTAATGTAGATTTTTATTAGACATTCTATAAATTTCAATTTTCATTCCTAGACTTTCACTAAAACATTTCGAAACGTTTATTAATTGAACTTAATACGCGAATAATGGGGTGCCAGATCTGCTTTGAAACGAAATCTTTGAAACGAAATCTTTGAAATGAACTAAATTCCACCTTCGGTTCAAGACTTCAACTCACTGTTAAAGTGCAAGCTTTTTGTGGAAATAGGTTTATTTAGAACAATTATGCAGAAATGAAATGGATAACGTTGTATAATCGCAGCAACAAATATATTTAAAACAAACAATTATACACAAACAAACTTACAGGTTTCTTTCCGTGTCTTATATGGCAACATTTGCCCTCACGTCTTGTCTTCATTTTTTTCAAAGCAAAACCCGCTTCATTGTTTTCTTTTCTAAAACTATAAACTAGTTTCTCATGTTTTTTTAAAACCTTGCCAATAGCAATCCGCCTTATTTTTGAGATCAGTGGGCTGTCCACCTATTAACTACAGCCATGTGCCGGCGATTGACTTTTCACTGTGCTGGATTTTATTTTCCCTGGTGTATATATAGCCGATCGGAACTAGTACTGCTATACACGTCCCGCGCATGCTCGGGGAATATTATTTTAGGATTCAAACACTCGTTAAAATTCATGAGCTAATTGGCAAATCATGTCAACCATAATATGTCACGTGCAGTGGCTTTAAACCTGATAAAACACTCCTAATTAGTATTCTTTATATAAAGAACACTAATAAGGTAGTATCTATTGTAGTCGTGTCCTCATTATTAGTATTCTTTATATAAAGAATACCAATTCCATTTACCAAAGACAGTAATTCTATTGAATTTGTAGTCGTGTTTGAAGCCGTTTAATAAACTCGCATGTCGTGTTTTATTAGGTCTAAAGCCACTCGCGCTGCGCGCTCGTGTATTTAAACCTAATAAAACACTCCTGCTCGCGGTTTATTAAACAGTACATAAATTGGCATAACTGCATGAACAATAGCCGCTTTTAATAATGAATTTTCCATAATTATCTTCGGTGGTCGGAACAACCTGAATAAGATGTTTGTGATGTTACTCTGAGTGTATATCCACACCGGGCGAGCTTGAACCTACGACCTTTGGAATACTAGCACAATGCTCTGCCAACTAAGCCCATTGGCTCTGCCAACTGAGCTAGTTGACAGAGCATTTGGCTACTATTCCAAAGGTCGTAGGTTCGATTCCCACCGTGGCTGGACATATTTTTCAACCTCGCCCTGTGTGGATATACACTCAGAGTAACATGACAAATATCATATTCACCTGAGTACACAACACCAACACAAAAAAACCATGAATAAGATAAAAAATACTTCAGATATAATGAAAACATTTTTTTTTTGAAAGAAGTTAATTTTTTCTTTGAAATGTTATTAAATTTCATTCTTTTCCGATTTTGTAGTGGAGGTGCTTACCACCAGCCTTGATCGTCTACACGAGTGGAGAGAAAACATAACGTCAATACCGAACGTAACTATTTGGAAATTGTGTCAAAATGAACCAGATTGTAAGTAATATTGATAAAGCGTGATCAGTCAATCTTTGTACAAATCAGTCAATCCAGATACAAAAGTACCGCGGAAATCATTTGCGCATGCATCAACATGACTGAAATTTGCCGTGCGAACGTAGTGTCCGTGTCTTTCGAAGGTTGTCGAAGACTCAAAATGGACTCGGAAAGAATGACTTCCATATGTTTGCTTTCTGTCAAATTGGAAGCAAAATAATACGGAAGCCGTGAAGGGACTTCAGGCTTCAGACTTTGGAATGTGATGTTATATACAGCTATTTCAATTAAGGTTGTCCCCAAGCAAAGCGGAAAAGGTGAATACGAGCACAAAAGGCTTGCTGGGGATCGCTAAAAAATTAATGAATTTCATACTAATAAAAAATAAAAAATAATTGTAGTAAATAATAATAATAATAATAATAATAATAATGAAAACTTTATTAAATGGATAGTTAGCTTATATATACAATTGCAAATCTCACTTATATCAGGTAATTTACAACTGGCTACTTAAATCACTGATTATATATGCAAAAATTATACTATTAAGATAACAAAATGACAGTACAACGTTTAAACACTTAATAATAATAATAATAATAATAATAATAATAATAATAATAATAATAATAATAATAATAATAATGATAATAATAATGATAATGATAATAATAATAATAATAATAATAATAATAATAATAATAATAATAATAATAATAATAATAATAAAATTACTAAATTTAAAGTAAATAATTTACGTGATAAATTTAATAAATTTACAAAATAAAGTTACTAAATTTACTGCAGTAATAAATTTACGTGCCGTTTCCACAAACAATAGTATTATATTTTTTATCGTCCTCAAACCTACAAAGAACTTACTGACACATTCCAATAGTCTGCATTTACAGTCTAAATCATTCTGACCATTTTTGACTTTAGTTTGAATAGCTTTGACTGAATAAGTGCCTTAAATATTCGCCAGCTTTGCAAAAGCAATGTTGGCAGTGGTGGCGCCAAGGGGGGAGGGGGGGGAAGGAGGGTGCCTCCCAAGTCTTTTTCCCCTCCCCCCATTCCCCCCCCCCTCAAAAAAAATTATTAGTCACTGAGAGCGACTAAAGACTACACAAGCGTTTTGTCGTTATCAGAAAATGTATGGCTTATAAGTTGTCATTACTCATTAGTGAATGCACGGGCATTATACGTGAAACTGTATACATGAAACTGATTTTTACAATTTCAGTATTAGTTTGTAAGTCTTTGAATGGTAAAACTTGCCAATACTCCAATAATACATTTCAAAAAAGTCAAAAAAGTTAAATTCTCAAACGTCACTAATAAGATGAAAGTATCACGAAATTATTTGAATAAACCACGTCGCATATATGTGTGCGAATATTCTAAAGGGGGCGATATTCCTTGGATATTCGCCCCTCTTTTGAGAGGGGGGGGGGAGTGAATTTCCGGGGGGGGGGCGAAATCCTGTGAGAGCGGCATGGGTAAATAGCAACTCTGTATAACCGGATGACAGACTGCAGAAGTCAGCAAAGTTGTGAAAATCCTTTATTCCCATTTGTTTAAGATTGGAAACCAGCTGTTGACAAGTGATTTCCTGAATTTAAAACGATCATTTTTTAGATTATTGTCTCATTTTCAAAACCGAGCAAGCGAAGGACTATAAAAGATATTCAAATATTTACGAATAATTATATTGTTGATGGTCACTATAGCATATCAACTTAGCTCGATTTAAATTTTACCGCACATTATTTTATTTTATTCACTTATTTGTATGTGCATGTTGTCTGTGTTGATTATAACTCTTCATCTATTTTCAATTCTGGAGAATTTTATATTCAATATGTTGTGCGGCTTGCTTCGTACTAATGTTGTACACATTTCTTCGTTGTACATTTCACGCCCTGCGTGGCTCCGTCAATTTGACAGTTGACAAACTTAGTTCATTTATCCCTGCCGACGCTGATTGGTTCACGTTTGGCTAGCGAGGGGCTGGACGAATAAAAATCATGGTTCTGTGCATGCTCACCTTTTCACCCAGTTAATAGCCTGTTCGCAGGGTAAGTGAGATAACAAACGTGAAACTACATTGTCTGCCGTTCTTGATTTTAAACAAGTGCGAATGTCGCCATCACTTGGCATCTATATATACAGTATGACGGTTTGACTCAGCTCATAAGCTACTACAATAACGCGAGTGCGTGGTTCCATAAACATTTCGCCAAACACAATTGTGATTTTTCATTAATATCATTTTGGACAATTTTGCACATGTACTGGATGACAAGATATAATACTGTATTGATGTATTCAAAGGAGCAAGCAGTACGCGTCTCTATGATAAATTTTTGTGCGTCCGGAATCTCGCGGCTTCAGATAAATCGGCACAACTGTGCTCATTAATGTAAAATTGGCACAGTTTTTAGCCGATCAGTAAATGATATTAATAAGAAAATAAAAATTATACGACTTTCCAGGAATGAAATTGCAGTAATTTTGTTATAATTAACAAAAAATGAAAATATTATTGTTTTTAGGTGAGATTAAAAGGTGTACAATCCAATTGAAGAATATCGCAGTGAACGCCAGTGCTTTGTCGTATGTACATAAATTCTATATAATTTAGGGTGACTACTGTGTAGAGTATTTTGGGCTGAAAAACACTAAGAAAATGGATGAGCAGTTTGTTTTCTACCTAGTACTCAGATATCCAACTCAGCACTTGTCGACTATTTTGAAAAAAGACTCCTTTTACTTGTTTTTCTTTTTTCATTATCTACCATGTTTGTCTGTAGCACAATATGAGAGCAGTTTGCAGGGTTTCCTTTTTAGATTGTTGATGATTTAAATGCCTGAATATTGTAATTACACGAACCATATATATCTCTGACAAATATTTAGCTTACCCATTTTGGAAGGAATCCATGCTAATCACGCACTTACAGTAATTGTCTCTTTACTTTTTCCAAAGTTTTAATTGTTGATTGCCTTGTGTTTTTTCAGCCATCCGTTTTGTCTTTCGGGTGCCGACATTATAGTATTGGATTATATTATAAAGGGGAAATTAATATCAAAACTAGAGGAAAATGAAACAGTATCTTTAAAATTTTCCAAAAAGCTGGAGAGCGTCACAACAAAACAAGTAAGCAAAGATTATAACAACTTAATTAATCCTTCTTCGCATGTGAACGACGTTGTGCTTTAAGAAAGTTCACAATGGAGAAACAAGTGGGTTGAATGATGTGTGCCACGAATTATAATCTCATTCAATTTGACACTTTTTAGTCGCTTAATGTTCGTCCATATATTTATTAAAGATATCTACTTTCTTCCAGATTATAGACATTACCCCTGTCTATAGACCAAGGGCGGTCGCTTGCATGTTTGGCGGGTTAATCAAATGGAACATGCAGATTAGTCCCTAGTCCTCTGTGTACGCTTCTGATTGCCGTGACGTCACCGACCTCATTCATATGCAGACACGCGAAATACGCGTACTAAGAGGCCTAGGGACTAGGCTGTCAAACGTGCATGTTCAATAGAGGCTGGGTTTGGGCACTATATACAGTTCTCATAAGTGACGTCATAACAAATAATTCTGATATATTAGTTTAACTTCCACCAGTGTGGGAAGCAAATGTTTATATAGGCTTAAATAAAAGCATACGTTGCTCAAAAAATGTAATTACAATACTTTGTAAGTACTAAGTAGATTGCAGGAAAATAAAGTTAAAGCTATATAAGTTAGAAGTTATACCCTCAAAATTTCACAGATTTACTTCGGGAGAGCTCTAATTCATCGCTTTAATTTAACATGCTTAAGACGAATTCAGAACGGACATGTACATTTTCTGGCGTTTATATATCCTTGTTCACTGTTAAAAAAACTAATTTCTGGCATATTCTTATTTTATGAAGCAATCATCAAAAATACCATTGCCTTGCTGAATCTTAACCGTATTATTGGACTATTAATAAGTAAAATTTCAAACGTTTATTGTGCACGAGAAGCCGTTTCAATGTAAAATAGTATAGCAAATTATTGTAGTAACCTGTCGAATGTACAAGAGAACAACTTTAATATGATATTTATACAATATAGCGGAGCGTCTTCCTTCGTGTGCAACAGCATGCATTGCGGGGCTAGAACGCAGGGTTACCGTATATTACAATTATTTGTGCTTTGAAGTTTGTCGAATTTGAGTTTGCCTCAGTCCTCTTTCCTGTGCAGAGCCATAATTCTACAGTTTTGGTTTATTTACTCTTTCCTTGATTTTTTATAACTGCAAAGCTTAGATTTTTAGGTATACAGAGCATTAAATTAAAATGCCTATGAGATGGAGAATGCAGGCTTTCATCCATTCTAATGAATAACGACTTAGGCAAATTTATGCATTCTAAGGTGGTTATTGACAAGTATGTAGTATTGCCGAAAATTTCAAACATAGCAGGCTAGCAGTTTCTAGCAAGGTACTAAGTGTTATTTTTGTCCTTTCCGTGCTTCAGGTAAATTGCTTGCACTTGCAAGGTGTTCAATGGAACAATAAAGGAATGCAAGTTGGTAGGATTGGTGGAAATATTGAATGCTTGACAAATCATTTATCAAGTTTTACAATGGTTGTACTTGACGCAGAGGTATATGGTGATAATAAACTGAATTTATAAATACTTTTATTGTTATATGATTTTTAATGACACATTTGGATAAGAAAAGTTTAAAAGTGACTATAGCCATACATAATTTTCAAAATTATCTCTAAAAGATGCATGCATGCAGAAACCCCTCACTTTGCTTTCGCAATAGCTATATCTTCCAAACATAAAGTATTTGAAGTGGTTGTCATGTTTACATGACCAGATTATTGTTTAAAATTGGAACCAGAAAAAACATATATTTTATTTGTAAAGTTTTTAATTTTTCAAATATATATTATCCGTAATGCCCGTTATCGTGAAACTTTGTGAGTTAAAAATAGAAATGATTTCAAATTCTACCATTCTCGCATGAAAATAACTTTACTCTCCTTTTTATTTAAATATTTTTAATGATCCACAACAGTAAAAACGGGTAATTTATTAAATTACACTGAATACGCAGCATCAGTTCTTAAAGAAAACAATATTTAAAACAAACTTGCCTTAGGTTTTACGATTATCTGCAATCTATTGTCCCTGATCTTGTGTTATGTAGCGAAAACAAATAAACTGAAGGCTGGTCCTGTGATTAATCATTATCGGGTTTCTAAATAATCAAAAATTTTCCTCCCCGCTCCAGAAAATCATATTCATATTCGTTGACTTTTTAACAGCTATCAGCAGCAAAAAGCCGAATGAGTCGAATGACGACCTCGCTTTCGAGCGTTAGGGCTAAGGCCCATACAGACCAGACGCGATTCGGCAACGCGACGCGAATTTTCAAATTTCAATGACCTTTAACTTTCCTGTTTTTCTATGTTTTTCAAATATTCGGAACCACTTAAGCAGTTTTAGCTATTTGATCAGCATGTCTTGTAAAATGTTTATCCGTTTACGGTATTATTTGTTTTTAAAAACTGAAAATTCGCGTCGCGTTGTCGAATCGCGTTCGGTCTGTGTGGACCTTTAGGGTTAGGATAGAGAAGCGAAATTAATATCTTCGTCCAGGCACGTTGGCTTGGGGATAATTAGACTAGAAAACTAGTAACAACAAGAGTGAAATTCGTTCTCAATCAATCAGCGCATTTTTTGACAATTTCGCAATAAGCCAATCAGAATGCGTAATTGGTTATTGTAGGTAGTTTCTTTGCGTGCTCAGAAAGACCACTTCCGGTAAAAACAAACATTTCAACAGAAAATATAGGGTAGGTTCTTTGTATGTTTGCATGGCGATAAAAGTAATAAATTTACGTGGTGTACAAAATAAATAATAATAAATTAATAAATAAGTAAATGCAGTAATAAATTTACGTGGTGTTTCCACAAACAAAACTATTATATGCAGTAATAAATTTACGTGGTGTTTCCACAAACAAAACTATTATAAAATATAGGGTATTAAGACAAATAAGATAAAGCTTCGAGGGGTTAGGATTTAAAAATTGTTTTATTGCATTCAACGTGTCAACGTATAGTAAGAATTTTTCTAAAAATTTGTCTCTGGGATTTGCGCTTTATTGCCTAGTTGTAAAATTATCGGCATTCGAACTTACGCACTTTTTATACTCCGCTGTTCGAATTGCCGCAAATGTTTAGAAAATTTCTTATTTTACCTTGTCACGTTAAATCCCATTAAAAGTTAAAAATCCTGATCCCCTCGAAGTTTATGTAAGACCATACATTTTCTGTTCAAATGTGTGTTTCTACTGGAAGTAATAACCAATGACGCATTCTTTATATTATTATTATTATTATTTAAAATTATTTAAAAACGGTAGCCCTTCTGCGGTAAAGAAAAACTGATTTTCAAGAGGCGTATATGAATAACAAACATTTACTTTCTATTTACAACAATTTTAACAAAGGAGAATTAGGTTAATTATAAGTTGTCGATGTACAGTATTCCGCTCCAAGTCCTTGTAGTGATGATTTATTGAAGTTTTAAAAGAATACAAAGAAACTTGGTCGTGTACATCAACAATTTCAGCTGGAAGACTATTGCAGGATACGGCTCCGTGGTATGAAAAGCTATTTTTCATAAAGTTTCCGTTTGATTTGTTTAAATAAAGGTTTCGATCATTATTTCTTAATTGATACGTGTCATTATGACTGGCGACAAACAGGTCTGAGAAGTAGTTAGGCGTTTCACCCCGTAATGCTTTAATTAAATGTCATATTGTGTTCACGTTTTTTAAGAATAATTTCAATTTTTTCCCAACCTAACATTTCAAATATCGCTGTTGATCTTTTTTCATAATTTGAGCCCGTTATTACTCGAGCGGGCTCGTTTATGCAATTTGTGTCGTTTTTCACTATGTGCACAACTACCATCATTCCATACATTCGGACAGTATGTGAAATGAGGTAGGACAAGTGCATTAAACATAACTTCTTCGTATGTTTGCATGGCGATAAAACATATAATAGTTTTGTTTAGTTTTGCAATAATAAATTTACGTGGTGTTTCCACAAACAAAACTATTATATGCATTAAACTTGTTTAGAAGTGTATCTTGACTTACAAATTACTTCGCTCTTCTCAAGAGAGCCACTGATTGGGAAATAATTTTGCATTGTGTATCGTTGTGTTCTTTCCAATTTTATTACTACGCATTTCACTGATATGTGCATTCCGCATTTTTCCTCGCTTCTGAACGGCGTTCGACGGTTGACGTTCGACGGTTGACGTTCGACGCAGGCCTGGTTACAAAATTTGGCGCCTTTTCAAGTTTGAATTTTCCGAAGTTAATATAAATGGTCAATGTCTTGTCTTGAATGACAGAAGTATTGATGAAAACTTGAGAAGGCGCCAAATTTTGTGACCAGGCCTGTGTCGAACGACCGTCGAACGCCGTTCGGAAGCGAGAAAAAATGCGGAATGTACATATCAGTGAAATGCGTAGTAACAGTTCATCAATAATGACCCCAAGAACTTTCTTACTTGAGACCTGCTGTACAATATGGTTGGCAATAACTATTTAAGGATTACTTGAAGATTGTTGTAGTCTCTGTCTTGGCTTAGAGCGAAAATGTAAACAAATGCATTGATTGGTCGAGAATGAAATTCGTCCTTGTTATAGTAGTAACTATAAAATTATTACTATTGACTGATGAACCAACCGGTTGCCTATATTTCCCAATTATTCATTTAACATGAAGTATTTACTAATTGGCCAACACTGAACGCACGCTCGTGTTTAGCTCAAACTGTTGCGAATCGAAAGCTTTGTTAACAACTAAACATTGTGTTTTCCCACTAAATTAGAGCAATTGCCGGGTTATTTATCCGTATAACACTCCACAAATGGACTGCAGATGGGCACATGCAGCCTTAATCTTTAAACGGCTTAAAACAGTGTCACCTATTGATTTAAATGCTAAAATTTGCAGATTTTGTTTGATTTTCTACACGACCTTTTTCAAATGCTCAGCCGTAAGTTTTGGCAATTCAATAACATCGCTCAACAGAGGGTACGGTTGTCTTTAATAAGCAGATCATCCCTCCAAGTTATGCATGAAGAAAAGAAAAGAAAAGAAAAGAAACGAACATTTATATTTGTTGTGAAAATTTGTAATAGAACCCGAGATTATAGGTTGGAAAATATAATTTTTTTGTCTACAAAATATCCAGAATATTTATGACGTCATTGGTTTACCATTCTTGTTTGGTGTTTGTTCGAGATAGCTATACGAATATTAAGCATACTGAACCCCGTGTATTTATTTATTTACATTTAGAATGAGGTAAAAGTGATTATTCAACTATATTTTGTTAATTTAGGTTGGTAAATCTAATAAGGTTGCTTTGAACATGATCACTTATGTTGGATCTGCCCTCTCACTAGTTGGTCTGTCTGTCACATGCATTGTATATATCGTTCTACAGTAAGTATGCAGATATGTCGAAAATTTAGCCCATAGATTCCATGTACTTTTGCATACAACCAGCTTGAATATGGATTAAGTTTGTTTTGTGTTTTTTGTTTTTTTTTTTGTTTTTGTGTTTTTGTGGGTTTTTTTTTTGTTTTTTGGATTTTTTCGGGGTTTTTTGTTTTTTGGGGGTTTTTTTTTGGTTTTTTATTTTTTGTCTGTTTTGTTTTTGTTTTTTGTTTTTTTTGGTTTTTTTGTTTTTTTGTTTTTTTTGTTTTTTTATGTTGTTTTTTTTGTTTTTTTGTTTTTTGTTTTTTTTGTTTGTTTTTTGTTTTTTGCGTTTTGCGTTTGGGTTTTGGGTTTGGCTTGTATGAAATCGAATTTTGTTGTGTTCAAATTTCAGCAAAGATCTTGAGATTTTGACGAGCACTCGTCACTTGGTACATTTCAACTTGCAGATTGCTTTAGGTTTAACACAGCTTGTTTTTCTCACCGGAGGATATGCCACACGTTACAAGGTTAGTAATTCAATCTGCTTTAAACCGCTCTGTTATGCGATGTAGAGATGCGCGGATAATTGGAAGGTTCGCTACTTCTTTAGCACATGAAGTCGGCACCGAGCATGGACAAAAGAACCGCTATTTTTATTTTTACATGCACGTGTTGCTGCTTCTTGTCTGGAAAGTAATACAATGTCGACCAAAGTTAACAAAGATTTATTGATTTATTTTCCTGCTGAGCGCAAACAAGCACATTTCTTTGGTGATAATTTTATTGTTCTGCTCATGCGCGTATTTTGTTTACATTTATGATAATTTAATTAAAATTCCGATCTGTGGGTCTCCAAGTTAGCTCATTATTACGCATTCAGAATATATCACGAAGGAGAAATTGGACTCCTAAAGCAAAAATTTAGCCCCAAAACAACAAATTTTAAATCGAAACCGCTAAAAAGTACTTCTTACAGAGGTCTGGACAAAATGTGATTGAAATTTGTACACATTTTGTCCATACCTTTGTATAAAGATGTGTTTCTTAACATTTTCAGTCTTAAATTTGTCATTTTGGACCTAAATGTGTACAAATTTCAATCACCTTTTGTCCAGACCTTTGTAAGAAGTGCTTCGTAGCGTTTTCGATTTAAAATTTGTTGTTTTGGGGCTAAATTTGTGCTTTAAATAGTCCAATTTCTCCTTCTTGATTTATTTCGAATGCGTAATGAATTAATTTGGAGGCTCACGAATCGGAATTTTAATTAAATCAACTATTGTTGGGAACGTAAATGTGAGCAAAACACGCGCATGAGCAGAACGGACTTGACAGCCTCTTTTAGATTAACTGCACTAAAATCAACCAATCACGGTCGGGTAATATTTTTATGCATATTATCAACCTAGAAATAACACTATTTGGGTTAATATCTGGTTTGTAATCAGAGATCTGGTTAGATCGATTTGACCAGGACGTCTTTAATTTATTGAACTAATATAATAATAATAAAATGATCTTTATTTTAACTGTCATACCCATCAGCTAATTAAATTTGGTCTTACCCGGGTGAACAGCATTTACAGTTATGGAATACTTATCATTTATAGATCCGGAGCGAGGGGGATTCGGCGTAATATTTCCCGAAGTGATGATATTTTCCGAGGGGCTTTGCTCCGAGGAAAATATCATCACTGAGGGAAATATCACCGAATTCCCGGAGCGGAGGGTCTATAAATGATATATTATACCGAACAAAAACCCATAAAATGCATAGAAAATACATTTAATAAACAATGATAGTTTACAACAACGTTAATTAATAACGCTTCAATCAAACTGAAATTCATAATTCATTCATGCAATGTTTAGCCACAATAATTTATGTTGATTGTGCAGCCTTCAAATTTATTGTTTTTAAACATATCCTTTGAAGTCGACAATACGGGAGAAAGGACTGTATTCATGACTTGGTTAAGCTGGGGAGTAGAGGGAATATCAATATCGTCGAGCAGTGCTAGTGATCTTTCAGGAGAAGTTAGACTTTCGTTTGCTGGGACGGTATCACTGTGTCAGCACTGTTAGTCATGGGAAACATCAATGCGTTAGACATGTCTCTACTCTGATCTTCTGACACGTTTGAAGAATATCATCTAATGCTGGCTTCATTCTTATGTCCTGAAATCGCCATAATATGTCTTGCTTCATAGCCTATATATCAAAGTAATTTAATAGAATATAAGCAAAAACTTAAATTGAAAAAGTCTGTTTTTCCGGCATTAAAAATACAAATATACCTGCTTCACCCAGTACTGTTATAGCTGTTGATCGTATTGAATGATTTGTGTATCGTTGAGACAACTGTCCTTGTCGTGAAATTTTACTCATCATTGTTCCTAGCGTATTTTTCCCGAGTGGGGCTTTGTAGTACTAACTTTCATTGTCGGGATAAAATGAATCAAGAGGTCTTTGCCACAGTTACGGTATTCCCCTGTTTAGTTTACTAAGATACTTCAAGAATGATTCAACTGGGCAGGTAGGTTTTCCTGAAAAAAATTCCAAATGCCAATAATCAATATTAGAACTGAACAAGCGTTCATACAAAATAGAGAGATTTTATACAAAATTCATAAACAAAACATACCTGGTTGCTCATACATTCGCCCTTGTGATACAGCACCTGTTGTTAAATCACGGTGGTTTTTATCAAGCTCATCAACTTTTTGAAATATGTATCGTTTTCCAGCGCTGTCAACTGCGAGCTCAAATGTTTCTTTCGTCATTGTTCTCAAATTTTCCTGCCCTCTTCTTGCACAGGAAATACATAACTTCGAACCAAACTTTAATAACTCGAACTAAACTCTAACAGCAATCCATTTGGCGCGTGAATATCAAAAACAATCGTTTCACCACTGTAAAGTTTTGCCATATCAACTTTCGTTATAGGTATGTGATGTTGTACTGTAGCGAGACCTTGACGACGTAAATCGGTGACTGAAGCTTTGAAAACCTTCGTACTATAAGTGAACGACCTGTCGTTGACAATATCAATGCCCAATCGGTCCAAATAATGTCTCCTTAGTCCGTTTCTTAATGTTTGTAAAGCACTAGCTTTGTATTTGGTCCCGTCTTTTCTTTTTGCATTTGCAAAAAAATTTGCCAAGCTTTTATCGAGGCTTTCTATATTCTGCTCGGCTTTCTCTAAGTCTTCAATCGCGCCATGGAAAGCACGAACTGCAAACTTTGTTGATTTTTTTGTGTTTTTTGCATCTTTGTTTTCAAGAAGTCTATTTATTTCTTCGTCCGAGTCTTGCTCTCCCGCCATTTTCCATAGCTATGCTAAGCGCGCGTTGCCCACGCGTCACGCGTGAGCGTGGGATACTATAATATCCCACGGTGGATCTGCCGTGGGATATTATAGTATCCCACGCTGGATTGCGAAATCATGAATTTGAGTGAAATACCGTAAAAAATCACACTATCACGTGGTACAAATGCTGTTTTTTTATTGGACAATTTGAATTTGAGGTATAATATTTACATAAATATAATCAGACAATGTTAGGTTGGTAAATAACATGGGCCCCTGGTTATTTATCTTATATTATATAGCATAGTCTGGTCAATTTAACCAGGACGTCCTGATCAAATTAACCAGACTGCATGTAGTAGGAAAAAGGTTAAAACAAGGAAAAAGATTAAAATAACCAGGAAATTTAACCATGAGAATTTAACCATCTTACGAGTGTTTTTCGAGTATATGAGAAATGCATGAACAGAAATAGCTGAACTGTTTAGACAGGCGTGAAGGGCCCTCCGTGCCGTTAATTGGTTCGGCAATAAGTCAAATACTTCATTAATCCAAAAGCATTCCGATATAATCCCAATGAGGCTGATGCAGATGTTGTAGTTGACTAGTCTTCTTTCTTTAAACGATATAATTACTTTTACTGTCTTCAGTTTATGCATCTTTTTCTAGCCTAGAAAAATTGTAATTGAAAATTCTATGAAAAATGTGAATTTAATATAATTTAATACAAATTGCCCTTGTGCAATTTTTATAGGCAATTTGTACAGTTGTGGCAATCTTGGCGCATTATTTTTCTATGGCTGGTTTTACATGGATTCTCCTTGAAGCTGTTATGCTGTATTTAAAAATGATTTCAGGGTATGGTGGGGAATTTGTGAGAATGAAGAACTTCCTTTTATTTGGTTGGGGTATGTTTTATATTTGTAAAGATAAAATTAATGCATGACATTATTTAGTCATTTCTGATTCTTTTGAACGACAGCCTTTCAAAAGTTTATCGTATGTCAAATTTTGAACACGCATACTGGCATAAGTAATTTACAGAAGCAGGGTTCTGGACCGGTGGTGCACGCCTATGACGTCATCGTAGGCAGATTTCATGGATGTGATGGAGCAGTAGGACTCAAATTATGGCAACGGGAGAATAGCGAACGGGTCATAATAGCCCATGCGAGGCTACCTCCCGCGACTCAGACCATCCTTTTTTTGTAAGTTGCTTATTCTTGTCAAAAGGTTTTACGCTGGCATTACTTCTCCTTTAAAATATAAGTCCCAAAATGTTTTACATATTGACCTAGCTTTGTCGTAATGCTTGTGGGACGCAGATAATGATACAAATTTGTAAAATAGATATCGTTGTGTTCACTTACTACATGTCTATACAATAAATTTAAAACCGAAACCTCCCACAATATTTAGAGTCCTAAAATGAAAATAATATATTTTGGAGTTTATTGGTCAGTATATGTATCAGTATGTTTATAGGTTAATTTATAGGTCAGTAATTTTATTCGTATCTGCCTTTTCTTTAGGAGTGTTGTTGGTTAGGTGTTATGTTAGTTAAAGGGTTAGTTCTTCTGGTTGAGCCTGGCATGGGTACTAAGACAGAAATCTTGTCCATAATCTAAGTATAGTTATGACTGTAGTCTTCATGCAGTGGAGTTTAATTAAGGGGGAGCTTGGTGGAGCACTCAGAGCTCGGAGGAGCTTAGCGGTTGGGAAAGTTTAAAGGGCGCTCGGCTGAGCTTAAGGGAGCTCAGGGTAGCTTGAAGGTAGCTCGGGGGAGCTTTAAGGCTGATTTACTCTACACAACCTTTGCCTAAAATCGTCGCATGCAACTTGCTTACAACTTGCGTTGTAACGTGTAAATGAAGCACACAACTAAACTACAACAACATAGGCAATTTGTAAGCAGATTGCATGCGACAGTTTTAGGCAAAAGTTGTGTAGTGTAAATCGGCCTTAAGTGGAGCCAGGGGGAGCTTTTAGTATTTAATTAAGACGAGCCTTGCAACGCATGGTTTCAAATTAAAATTGTATCCACACGACGGACGATAAATGGGTTCCATGGGTGGATTATAGACGACTGTCCAATGACTTTGTATATAATATGCAAATATCGAGCCCCTGCATGACAACCAAATATAAGTACAAGTATATTTATCATTTCTCGTGTATATATTGTATTTATACTCTATGTGTATTTACTCTATCTTGCATGTATAATGCTTAGAACGTTAAATGTCCTTCGATGCTATTATTTTTCTTATTAATAATGCTTAGCAACGATATACTTTTCATTCCTAACAATGCTTATAGATACTGACCTATATAAGCTCCGAAATATTTTATTTTTGTTTTGGGACTCTATTGATTGTAAAAGCTTTCGGTTTTACATTTGTTGTATTGACCGTAGAGTGATACCTTACTGTATAATATAGTGAACTCAACGCACTATTCACTTTCATTAATTGCAATTTGTAAATAGTTATGTAAACGTATACTGAAAACAAAACAAGGTAAGTACCAGCGTAAAACATTTTGACAAGAATAAACATCTTGTAAAAAAGGATGGTCCGAGTCTTAACCAACTGCAAACGGTAAGTTATACTCACGGGTTGGAAATGTTGATGGCACAGACACCAATTATAAATAATTCGTTGTCTCGAGCGGGATCCGAACTCGCATCTCCAGTTTGTAGACCGCCGCTCTAACCATGAACCCAGCCCACTGTTCATGCCACGTCATGAGTGGTGTTCTACTGCTCCGCCCGACCCATGAAATCTGCCCACGATGATGTTATGGGCGTTCACCAACGGTCCAGAACCCCGCTGATCGTATTATCAAGAATTTAAAATAAATAATTGATATTTGATGAGAAAATTGAACTTAAAGTTAAAGTTTATGTTAATCAGTATGATTTTGTATCCGATATACAAACTCCTTCACGGTCATGATTTCATTTGTGCTTTCTTCATGAATTATTATTTCAATAGAAGTTCTCCAATACCACTGAGCAGACAGCCAAGTTGACCGCATGCACATATACCAACTTAGAAACAAATTAATTTATTAGGAATTATTTGAGAAAATAGTCCTATAATCCTAGCCCATGCCCTAATACTTATCCTAATTTTAAAGATAAAGATATACATTATACAGTCAATCTGAGGAAGAGACCGGGATGGTGCAGTGTAGCATTCTCCTCAGTAATACACCTTCGCCACTTATTAATAACAACAGGAAGGGCTACCAATGGAAGACAACATGAATTTTGTGTACGTCTACGTACTTAATCTGTCCGTATCAAAAACGTTCCGCGTAACTTAAAGTGCCTATGACACGAAATTTCACCCCAAATGTTTATGATTGCATTGTAAAGATCACTTAAAATGACTTAATTTCTTTTATTAGAAATTTGGTAGCTTGTTTTCTTTGCAAGATTTTAAACTTTGTTTCATATGCAAATATCACCAGTGTGATATCACATCGCATAATGACATTTTGAAAACGCAATATTTTACCTTGATAAAATATTTTTACAAACAAATACAGAGGGTTAATTACCAGTTATGAAATTAATACATATACAAGGGCAATTTTTAAGTTGTTTAGATACTTATTCGTCAAGAAAACTATACTTTTCTGAAAACTCATTATGTGATGTGATGTCACACCGGTGATATTTGCATATGAAACAAAGTGGAATATCTTGAAAAGGGAGCAAGTTACCAAAATTCTATAAAAGAAATTAATTATTAAATCATTTTAAGTGATCTTTACAATGCAACCATAAACCTTTGGGGTGAAATTTCGTGTCATACGCACTTTAATTAAGAAAATCAGATAGTGGATTATTCCAAAGCTTTACAACACGGTTGAAAAAGGAGTCTCTAACTCTCTTTAGGTCTGGTAAAATACGCACTGCGAATGTTTTAAATTGCTTCAAAAACGATTGATCCAATAAGTTCATTGGCAAAGTAATTAAAAAAAAACGTTGTGTAGTCGAGAAAATTAAAGTTTATGTAAATCAAGGGAAATCTCTATCACATATAACGTCGCGACACGCTTATTATTTTTCTTTGTGTTTTCCTCATGAATTATTAAATGAACCGCTCACGTACTTGTAAACAAATTAAAGCATAAGTCACGACACTCCAACCAGTAGGAAATAGGAAGCAAGTTGAGACTAATCAAGCGGAACTTGTAGTTGGGCCGGACATGCTAATCTTTGCTGCAATTGAGGATGAAACGTGTAACTCGCTTCTGCACACTCTCACAAACCTCCCTAGGTTTTCGGGGACATTTAATCACTAATTTCTCTCATGTTATGGTATTACTTATTATAATATCTCTATGTTTGTTTATTTGTATATGGTAATACTATAGGTCTATTCGTAGTCCAAACACTAACTAACTGAATATATATATTGTTGTTCTTTGGTTATATGAGTTAATTATATAGTTAATATTACCGAGTAATATCCTGTCGAAACCTAACACCTATACTATAACTATGGTGACGTATTGACTATACTACATCACTTCCTTTTTTTTTAACTCTCTGCCACAATAGTGGCTGTCCATATCGCTCTGGTCGCTTGGTGTTTCTGGACGACTTGCGAATACTTGGTTCATTGTTACCACGATCAGTGTGGTTAGCCTTGTTCTGTCCATTGTCGTTGTTGTTAACTGTCGAATCATCATCCTCATCATCTGTATCTACTTTATTGTTCGTTTGTAACGGTTTAAAGTGAGAGATGTTTCTCGTAATGATATGTCCGTATTTGTTGCGTGCTGTAATACGTGAGTGTTGTCTGTTTGTTATAGTATACGGTACTTCGCTGTATTGTGATGTAAGTTTGTTTTGTTTTTGTTGTTTAACCAGGACACGATCACCGACTTTGATGTCGCTCTTTTTCACGTTTCGCTTCTTGTCAGCGTATTTCTTGTTGTACTCCTTTTTCGAATCTTCGTTCTGACAAGATTGTCGGTGGCGGTTGATAATATTCCGCTTTTGTAACACAGGTAATTTTCCTTTGACGGTTCTGTTAAATAGCAGTTTTGCTGGTGGTACTTCAGTTGTGGAATGTGGGGTTGTGCGGTATTGCAATAAGAATCCGTTCAGTTCTTGTTGCCAGGGACGACCTTCAATTTTCGCTGCATTTGGCGTTTTCCCTAGTGGTTGCATAAATCGTTCTACTTCCGCGTTTCCTTGCGGCCATAGCGGAGTTCAACATTCCGGTTTTATCCCGAGTGCTTTTAAATACCGACTGTACTCTTCTCCGTTGAAGGGCGGACCGTTGTCGGATTTAACGGTGGTTGGTATTTTAATGTGTCGCAAAAATCTTATCTAATTTTGGTATGATTGTGGTTGCTTTTGTGGATCTACTTCGGGAAATCGTGAATAGCGATCCACTACGACTAGCAGATACTCGCCTGAGGGCAAAGGACCGTAAAAATGAAGATGCACAATTTCCCATGGTTCTTTGGGCATGTTGGTCATCGCTAGAGGTTCGGGTGATGTTTGCTTACTGATGGCTCGACAGGGTATGCATTGGTCAACGGTTTATTTTTACCAGATTGTCGATATCTGGAAACCAGATCTTTTCGTGATGTGTTTCGTGGGCAATGTTGCTTGCTCGTTGCTGCAGTGATTTCGGAATCACAATTCTCGATCCTCGTAAAACGATACCAGTTGATGTTATACTGTGAGTTCGTCTTTTACGTTTTTAAATGGTTTGACTACTTCATAGTCTCATTTATTTAGTTTTGTAGCAGCTCTTAGTCCTGTCAATGTTCTGTCTGAGTCAGTAGCTGCTTGAATCTCTTCCAATGTCATAGCTTTTGGGATACTGTTCTGAGTAAGAAAGTTCACATACTCTTCTGTCAATTTATGTTGTTTCAAACTTGTCTGTGGTGGATGTCTGGACAAATAGTCGGCAGGATTGTTTGCTCCTGGTTTGCAGACTACGTTGAATGAATATGGTCGTAGATGCAAGACCCATCTTTCTAATCTAGCGGAGTGTTTGGACTTGCGACCACCATAGATTACTTCCAATGGTTTATGATCGGTAATTAGAGTGAAGTCGTTGCCATAGATGTATAAATAGAAGTGTTCTACACCCCAAATTATGGCAAGTGCTTCCTTTTCGGTTCGGGTGTATCGTTTCTCCACGTCCGCCAAAGCTCGGCTTGCGTACGCTACAACTTTTTCATCATTTTGTTCCGTTGATTTTTGGGAAAGAATGTCAGAGACTCCTACTGGACTGGTTACGTATGTTGCTTTCTGTGTGTCAAAATAGGCCGCTTGGGAAAGATCAAGCTTAGAAAAATATTTAGCTCCGTTGAGTTCAAAACTGACATCTTCTACCGTAGGGATTGGATGTCGAACTCGCTTGATAGCCGCGTTGGCTTCTCTTATATCAACACAAATTCTGACACCAACATTTTTTTTAGGCACTACTACAATGGCGGATATCCAGGGTGTTGGTTGATTGTCAGGGACACGTTCAATTATGTCCTGTTGTTCTAATTCTGAGAGTGCGCATTTCACGTCCTCTCGAATATGATACGGAATGCGTCGTTGTGGCTGCGCTTTTGGGGCATGTTCTTTATCAATATTGAGTTCCACCTTTTCACCTTTCAATTTACCGAGATCACTAAATACTTTAGCGTGTTTATCTAGTATCTTTCCGAGTTTCTTGTCTTTCGTCATTGACACTTTATTGAGATATAAACTGGTTAGACCCAATTCTTGAGCCGTTGTCAACGAGATCAGATTACCGCTGTCGGTTGTCTTAGCAACATAGAATGTCGCAACTGCGATACGTTTCCGAGTTTCAACTGTCGTTTCGAATTTCCCTATGAATTTCACGGGTTTTGCAGAGTTATACGCAAATGCTTTAACGCTTGTTCGTTAAAGTTCTAGTCCTTTCAGTTTAGCGTATGTATCTTGATCAATGACGTTAATTGACGCGCCTGTGTCAACAGTAGCTTTAAAATAATGTTGGCATATCTTTACATTCACTTTTGGTGTTGTGGTATTCGTCACAGCATACAGATAGTTCTCGTCACTATCAGAGCTCTCTGTATCGTATTTCTCATGTTCAATGTTTCTTTAAAGGTTTTACGGTTTTTTTTATTTATGTTTATAACGTTTTCCTTGACTTGCAGGGGAGTGTTCTTTCTGTTCAGGTTTACTGCGACAGACTTTTGCAAAGTGTTTCTGTTTTCCGCATTTTATGCATTGTTTATTTTTCGCCGGACAATGATTCGTGTGAGGATATAAGCCGCCGCAATTCCGACATTTCGTTGTGGTTTCTTGAAGCTTTCGTATAGCTTCATTTTTCTGTTCTTTCGACTCAATATCACGAGCTTGATAAGCACTTTGCTCATCACGTCTACCATCAATGAGAATAGCTTTCAGGTCGTACGTAGGATCACGTAGAGCTTTCTTTCGAATTCTATAGATGATGAGCCAGCCGTAACAATTTGTTGCTCGATCTCGAAATCTGCGTCTGCGAAAGAACACGTTTGGGCGAGCGTACGTAAACGCGTATGAAACTGATCTAACGTTCCGTGTGTTTCTTTAGTAGCTTGTCTGAACCGGTATACTTCGTAACGACGATTCTTTTAAGGTTCGAAATACTACGTGAGCTTGTCTGTAGCAGTTTTATAGTCCGCTGTTGTTCCCGTGTTCGATAATTGGCGAAAAATTTCTCTGACGCGTTGTCCCGCTTGATAGAGAAGCAAGGCACGTTTGCGTTTCTCTTCTGTGATGCCACTGGCAAGTATAAACATTTCAAAATCATCGAGGCAATTCGTCCAACGAGTGGCTAAACTCGCTCCGACTTCTGAATCAAGATTAAATTCAGGTAGAGGTTGTATAGAAACCGACGGTGTGCTAATGGTTACTGGTTGCGCAGCTTGTTCGTCATCGGCCATGCTCGTCGCCAATATAATATCTCTATGTTTGTTTATTGGTTATTTCTATATGATAATACTACAGGACTACTATTCGTAGTCCAAACACTAACTAACTGAATATATATTGATGTTCTTTGGTTATATGAGTTAATTATATAGTTAATATTACCGAGTAATATCCTGTCGAAACCTAACACCTATACTATAACTGTGATGACGTATTGACTATACTACACTTATAATAATGTTTCTAATAACTAATATTTTTTAAAAATAAACAGGATTCCCTGTACTGATAGTGTGTTTATCTGCTGCGATAAAGATTGAGGCTTATGGTACAAATCAATGGTAACTGAAAATTTAATTTAAATTCTTTCTTTCTTATAACAGTATATTCAAGAGCGACAATCAATTCAAAACAATGTGTGGGGGGGGGACGAAGCCTGGAAACGGGCGTAATTTATTATAGACTATATATAACGAATGTCCAAAAAGTGAGGCAGACGCGACCCTCCCCCCTCCCCCACAGGATTGATGCCCTTGAATGTATTTGAGCGTTTCATCATTACCGACAATATACTTAAAATTCCCAGCGATTAGGTTTAACTAAACAGATTGTGTTCCACGTAATTTTTCAGGTGTTGGCTGTCTTACAAACATGGATTTTTGTGGGTATTCTTTGCACCGGTGGTCATAATAACATCAGTATGGTTCTGTATATAACTTTTTATCTAAGCAAGAAGATAGGTCTTCGAAGAAGCTGCAACAGCAAAACCGACTGCATGTCTGAAAGAAATTTTCCTCAGTTACACGATACCGGATTCTTAGCGGATTACTTTCCATATCAGATATGCGTTTTGGTTACACGATACCATGACAATCGTGTACGTGGCACTGCCTAAAGGCCTGTTTACACTTGCAATTTTTGCTGCGATTTTAAGTGCGATTTTCGTCTTCTGATGCATGTGAACGAGTAGATTAGTGTGAATGTTCCGAGTATATGTACCCTCATATCAACATTCATAATTCTTCCACTCGTTCTCATCCATCAGAAGAAGAAAATCGCGCCTAAAATCGCAGCAAAAATTGCAAGTGTAAACAGGCCTTAAATATCTGTACAATGTGGAAGTGATATGAAAAATAATCCGGTACGTCCACGGAGCACCGTGTAACTGGTCGAATCCGATACGTTTTACTAAATTGGCTCGGTTGTTCTACTTTCAGAAAGCGTTTCCCTACTTCAGGGAGCATTAAATCGATTTTCTTAAAATAATAATATTCACGGCCAGTTTTGAGTATCAAGTTAATATATTTGGGATTTTCTTTTGGCTTGTCGGTATCTGTTCAGCAGCACTAATAGATTATGCAGCAGAAACGTCATGTAGTAACACCAAAATTAACGAACTGTTTAAATTTAAAATTTATTATTAATGAATATTTTACTATGATTGTCCACAGGTAACACTTGTTACAGTTATTACTGTGGCTCGTATCATTGTTTCAAAGTCGCATGAAGCTGATACCAAGAGAAGGATAATGTAAGTTACACTATTTTGATACAAATTTATGATGAAATTTTGACATTCCAAATGTTATTTGGTTAAAAATTTCCTCAATTAGCAGTCAAGTGGAGTGAATGTAATATTTTAATGATTTTTCGTTTTCCAAACAAGTAACGGGTGTTTTACTGCTAATAATACACATAAAAAAGTTCAATTCCGATTGGCTGAATGCAATGCAATTTAGAAAAAAGGAAATACGGTTTAATTTTCAACAAGAAGACCCCGATAGCCAGTTTGAGCGAACAAACAATTCAACAGCGCCGTATACTTGGCAAAAGGAGGATTTTTACTTTTTTGACAGACTTTTGGTGTTACGTGAACTGAAAAACACCTTGAGAACATCGTGATATGATGTGAGTGCTACGACAAAATGCTTGCTTTCAAATAATAGAAAAAGAAGTTTTCAATGAATTCGATTTTTCAAAGACCTCAAATAGCACTCGTTCGTTGGACTCGTTCTATTTTCATAGTCTTTGAAAAACTCACTCATGCATGTTTTAGCCAAATTGTTCTTGAAACCATGCTATTTAATAGTCCTATTACCTATGAGTACACTTCATTGTATATTCTCTAGTTCTGTTGCCCGTGGTGTTATTATTTTATTCACTACTCTTGGCTTCTCCTGGGGATTCAGTGTTATCGCTGTTAATCATGATGCCTTGGTTTGGAAATATCTCTTCGCAATTTTTGCTTCGTTGCAGGTAAGACAGAAAATAACAACTCTCAAGTGCGGATCAGTTACGCAAATCATTTCACATGTGAATTTTTTAGTGGAACTGAAAATTTCACATGTGCAAAATGCCCATTTCATATGTGAAATCCACAATTTTCACATACGGAAAAGGTCATGTGAAATTATTATTTATGCATGTACTACTATCTTGAAAGTAGGACAACAATAATTAACAACAAATGGCAATTTCGCATAAGTGTCATGAGTCCGAGCGAAAATCGGACCTTCGATCTACGAGGGCAAAGGCGGCTTCGTCTAACGATTGTGCCCCCAAAGCCACGCCAAATATTCTAAACTAATTGGAAAAATTTTGACATGTCTCATCTTTCAATTTAAATTGAAAACGACATTAATTTAATAGCTTCATATTAAAATTAAATCAAGGTCTATATACGCAGGGGCGGTGGAACATATTTTACTTTGGGGGGGGGGGGCTAAATTTAAAAAAGTTCAGCGTAATTTTTGACTAAGTGGAAGCACAAACGGCATAGCATGTAGGATTTCTCCTATCTTTGCAAAATTGTTCAAAATCTACAAACATACGGATATGCAATTATGCATAGATCATTTGATGTCATGACTCAATGACTCATAATGAATTAATGACCAATCGAAGCAAATTAACGACCAATTATAAGCCGCAAAAAGCTTGAAAAGATCTACGCAATCAGCACATAAGCAGTGTTAAATTTTGTCTGACTGGACATAAAACATAACATTAAGAATTTTAATGATATAAAAATATTAACCAAACTAGAAATACAATTGTATTCCATAGTTCATACTCTCGCTTTGACACAAAGATCACAAACACAACATAAATGCAATGCTTGCATAAGGGGTTACAATCAATGGATGACTCCAGCTATACAGGGTGTATAAAAAAAAACGGAGTCCATCTTTTGTACTTAATAACTATCGGCCTGCTATATTTAATAAAACGGTTTTAGGCTTATTTTAAAGCCTGCTCATTTATCTTTCGAACAAATGGTCATCCGTGTCTTTAGTGCAAGTAATAACTGCACAGGAGAAAACTTAGTAAAACCTATAATTTTTAGATGCCGCTTAATTATACAAATTTACTATGATATTCCATAGTCGGTTACAATGTTTGAATTTTCTTGTTCAAACTTTAATGTTCTTGTTGCCACATCAGAAAAACATTCTAAAAGAGATTAGGTTGTTTTATTTATTTCAAAATCCTAAATTATTTCCAGAAATCATCAAAACAATCTTATGTCCATGCATCGTCCGAACCAACGCCATCGAATCGGGCGCAATGTAAACATAAATTAGCAAGTTGACGGCAAGCTAAAACACGCTTCAGCTGGGAATATAAAGTTTATAAACGCATTTGAAGTCAGCAAGTGAATTTAAAATAGTGTATTGGAAGCCTTTATTTCTTAGTTTTTACAAGCTATTGCCAAAATGCCTCAATTTGCTCGTTTTGTTGACAAAATAAGTTATTTTCTTCAAGTACCGATGTGTTATTGCATCTCAAATTTTTGACTCTCCAATCGCAATCACTTAAAATACTATTATTCACGAACTACTGGATTAAATTTACGAAACAACCCATCGTTGGAAAGCCGAATGTCTACGCTTTAAAACAAATGTAAACCTGAACATTTTACTCTAACATTCGTTTAGAAACTGATATTTGAAGCGAGGACTCCGTTTTTTATGATACAACCTGTAGACGAAATTTTGATCAAGCTGGAATTGAAGAGCTTCCTAAAATGGGAAAAATTGCAAAATTTGGTTGCGAATTGTTGTAAAATGAGGGAAATATAGCGCAGGCCTGTGAAGTTCGCAAATTTTGTATATAGGCCCACTGTATTTGCATTACGCGAGGGAAAATAACCATTTTTGAGCCGAAAGTGCACGTGGTGATTTTACCGCGCGTAATACAAATATATACAAAATTGGCGAATTTCACAGTGCTATATTTTCTTCATTTTACAACATTTAGCAACCAATCTTTGCTTCATTTTTTTTTTTTTTTTATATTATAATATTTAAGGAGGGAGCCCATATCTCCAAGGAGTTTTCAATGGGGCCCTACGCTCTTTCTAGCTGTGGTGTTGGATTTCGTTCTTCTTGCATTGTTCAAAATTTCGTTTATAGCTGGAATCGCCAATTAGGAAAGTCTGAAACTTCACTTAACTTTTATTTGTCCCATTTCCTAAATAACCACAAAGGCCAACACCCTAACTTTGTAGTATTTAGCCTACTGTATAGATCTAAGATATACTCATGGTGAAAGAAAATCAATTTACATTGATTCACTTGATCATAAAGTAGGATATTTTCTTTGGCATTTTAGCCGGCGAGCAGTAATTTGAAGACTTCCTAGTTTGTATAAATGGTCTTGTATTCTGGCTTAGGCTTATATGGGCTGAAATTTTGTTTGTCTTATGTATTTGAAAGAACATTAAAAACTATATATAAACTTCCTTTACAATTATTCGGCATCTTGCTTGGTTTTCGAAATAAATCGACTTATTTTGATCACAAGCAGCGTGCATTCCGCCATCTTGGATATGCATTCCATATGCATATATATGCCACAAGTAGGGTAAAAAGCAAAACTTTTATTTTGCAAGCCACACGTCATTATCAATAAGAAACTCGATTTTTCGAAATCTTTTTAGCACTCAATTACCTCACACATTTTAAGAAACTTTTCGAAGAAATTTATTCCCCTATGAAGATGTTTTAAC